GCCAACAAAACAACAACAAATAAGCGAAAAACAACCGAGTGAACTGCGTGTACACGCAAGAAGTGCAAATTAATTTGAAGACGAAAGCTGAGAAAGCAAATTACATGCATACATACATATGTACATTAGGGTGGTCCAAAAACAGTAAAGTTGGAATTGTAATGCTCTCAACCCCTAGGATTGTTCTAATTCGAAAGGAGTACCCGTATTTTTTTAGTTAGAAATTAAAAAATATTTAGAGGCCGCTTAAAGCCATAAAAGTTTTCAATGTATTTTTATATGGGAAAAACAACTTTTCGTAGAAATGGCATAGAATTGTGGAAAATCAATATTTTTCGATCAGAAAAATCTGGTTTTCTTCAGGAGACTTTCAGTAACAGTACTGCTAATTGCTTATTTAACAATTTTTTAATATTAACGATTTTTATTGGTCCTCCCACTGCATTTTTCGGGGTTTTGTGGGTGTTTGGCGGAGCTATAAAAAATGCTTAAATAAATAATTGGGTATAATTATCTCCTGCAGAGGAACAGAGTTTTCCGATATAGAAATATTGATTTTTAAGAATTCTATACCATTTCTACGAAAAGTTTTTTCCCATATAAAAATACATGGAAAACTTTAAGCGCTTTGAGCGACCTCTAACTGTTTTTTGATTTCAAAATAAAATATAGGGGTATATTTTTTTCGGTATGAAACAATCCTAGGGGGTGAGAGCATACAAATTTCGTCTTTACTTTTTCACATGCATTTTTGGACCACCCTAATGCACATACTCATAGCTGTTTATTCTTCTGCCATCATCGCTGAAACTGCAGCTTAGTGTGCTGTCTTATTGTGCAACTTGGTAGCCATGGCACTGTACCAGTGCGTATGTGGATGTTTGTTAGTGTCCCATGTATAAAGCTACGGCATCTTTTGGAAATATGTGGTCTATATTTTAACCATAGTTGCATATGTAGGTACGCAGATTGAATATATTCATAGGCATGTATGTATGTTCATACGCACCTACACACACATATACGAGTATTTCTGGCAAACCTAGTACATATATATTTATGTATGTAACTACATACCTACACATATTGAATGTCAGCTCTTACGTACTTATGTAAGTCTTTTACAAATTTCTTTGCATAATTATATTACTTCGTTGTAAGTAGATTTGCAATTATCCTTCTTCCACAGGTTTTAATTAGTAGCAACATCACAAGGGAATCGACAGTTACGTCGTACTGCCGTGAAAGCGTTGCAAAAAAAAAACAAAAATTTTGTGAAAGAGTTTGATAAAGTAAATATACGCATCTCATTTTGCAGAGATTATGAAAAAATAACCTTTACTATATAGTGGTTAGTAGTTTGGAAGGTAGAACTGCTCAATTTTGACCAACTCGCCACATGGATAAACATGTGTAGATACTCTTTTTTTTGCCTTTCCTTTAACAAAAGAATTATAGAAATCGGTTAACGTGGTCCAAAGTTATGCGATAACGTACGTAAAAAAAAAAATAGAAAAAAAAATATAAAATGATTCCGAGGATAACCTGATAACCTTCTTCGTTTTGTGAAGTCGGCTAAAAAAATAAACAAAATTTCTGTTTGTACTAAAAATTGCTTGGTCATCCTGCTCTTCGTAAATTATAAATTTTCGCAATTATTATTATTTTTTTAAATTAAGAAGAAGATAAAAAAAATTACAAAAAACCTATGTATGTTAAATTAAGGGTTATTTATTTTTCCTTTTTGGTTGTTGTTGTTTCCGACAGGGTGGGTGTATGATGTATTATGGAACGAATTTCCCTCATCCCTTGTCAAATTTGGTTTGGAGACAAACCGGTTTCGGCGTTGTGCCATCTTCAGTGTCATTTTTCGTTCGTTCGGTTATTTATTTGTTAAGTGTTTATTCTACTGGATGATCCTTACTTAATGTGAAAGTGAGTTGGTTTGTTTGTCACGCTTTCCCGGTCATAATGAAATTTCGCACACTGGTGTCATTTAGTCCTACTTAATTTATATGATAGCTCCCATGGAGCTTTTCATCCTAAACCACTGATGGGCACTGCCTTGCCCGCTTTATATACATTTTGTATAGGCGCGAGCGGAGTAAAAATCCACTCTGCCCATCGCTGTCCTAAACTTAACCTCTTGAAGTATTTCCGGTAGAGTGTTAGAACTTGGTATGGAGATATACTCATGGAAAAAACGGGGGATTTTTGAAAAGGGCCCGTGGCACCTGCCATACAGACTGAATTTTTTATACTACTACCTGTTAGAAGAATAACTTCAATTCAAAGTATTTGATAAGCTAAATTAATGATTACCCACCCATCGAAGCATTTTCTGGCTTTGTNACAACATTTCCGAAGAAATTCGGGCTATTCCGGCCGAAATGCTCGAAAAAGTTGCCCAAAATTGGACTTTCCGAATGGACCACCTAAGACGCAGCCGCGGTCAACATTTAAATGAAATTATCTTCAAAAAGTAAATGTCATGGACCAATCTAACGTTTCAAATAAAGAACCGATGAGATTTTGCAAATTTTATGCGTTTTTTTTAAAAAAAAAGTTATCAAGCTCTTAAAAAATCACCCGTTACATATAGAACGGTTGCCAGACGAAAGAAATAACACGCAGGAATTTCTCAAACTCAGCGAGGAAGGTGAGGACAATGTAGTTCTGGATAAAAAATGTTTTTGTTTGTATATTGGGAATGTTTTTCTCCGGTTAAGAGTGATGGAGTTGCAAAAGATTAACTAAGTGCAGAGAAAATTTATATTAGATTATATACATACTTAGTTATGAAAGGAAAAAACCAACGAACGTGAAGGAAAGTCCTGAAGTTTTTTCAGTATTGTTTGCTTTCCTTAATGTTGAGTAACTAAACGTCATTTGGTTTGGAGCAAATGGACACATTCTACGCGGACACAGTTTTTCATCATAAAAAAGTAGGCCCTTTTCCATAAATAGCTTCCAACTACTCTCGGGCCGCTTTAGTTAGTCATTCGGATGTTCATAAATGGTACCTCGTATTGCAGGTAAATGACAATATTTAAAAAATTTGGCACACTTGGACATAGTGCAGTGAATTAAAATACAGCGGCTCCGTTGGCTTGGTAATGTCGTTCGAATGGACACCGACGCTCCAGCTCTGCAATTATTCAACTCGGAACCCGCTGGTGGTAGCAGAGGAAGAGGAAGGCCCCCACTGCGATTAAAAGACCTAGTGGAGAAGAATTAGGCGTCGCTTGGCATTTCCAATTGGCATCAGTTGGCACAGAAGAGAAACGACTAACGTGATTTGTTGAGCTTGGCCAAAATCGTTTAGGCCAAATGGATGTATTTCGATAAAAGTAAATTTGAGCTGAAAGCATTAGTTATCAAAACTAATGTAGGATGTAAAGCCTGCCCGAAAATTATCGACGCTTGGGAAACAAGTTGTTTTTGAAAACTTAACTATATACATATTATTTTTATTATAAATTTATTTATTATTTTCTTTACTAAGTTATTAATTTGTTTTCGTAGCCACTGAAAATCACATAAGCATTTAAAAAAAATATTTACAAATGTTTTTTTTTTTTAAATTGGTAATGGTTTGGTACTAATGTGTTCACAAATTATATTTAAAATATATTTTTAATGCTCTGCCAAATCTTTTTCCAAATATTTTCGCCTTCTGAATTGCTTTCTGTAGTTCCTGGAATTTCTGCAGCTCCTGTTACGTTAACAGTTGTTTGCCATGTTGAACTAGGAGACGATTGAGATGTATGCCATTGTGGTGGAACCCATGTTGTGTTTGGTGGAATTGATGTGGTGCTTGATGGTGCCTGAGTTGTATTCCAGTGTGGCGTAATCCATGTTGAATTTGGAAACGACTGAGTTGTATTCCATTGTGGTGGAACCCATGTTGTGTTTGTTGGACTCGATGCTGTGCTTGATGATGCCTGAGTTGTATTCCATTGTGGTGGAAACCATGTTGAATTTGGAGTCGACTGAGTTGTATTCCATTGTGGTTGAACCCATGTTGAATTTGGAGTCGACTGAGTTGTATTCCATTGTGGTGGAACCCATGTTGTGTTTGGTGGACTCGATGCTGTGCTTGATGATGCCTGAGTTGTGTTCCATTGTGGTGGAACCCATGTTGAATTTGGTGGAATCCACGTTGAATTCGGAGACGACTGAGTTGTATTCCAGTGTGGTGGAACCCATGTTGTGTTTGGTGGGATCGATGTTGTGCTTGCTGGGGCCTGAGTTGTATTCCATTTTGGTGGTACCCATGTTGTATTTGGTGGAATCCATGTTGCATTTGGAGGCGCTACAGTTGTATTCCACTGCGGTGGTGTCCAGTGTGGCGGAGAACTTTCACGGATACATTTTTCGTAATTTTCCGTAGCTTTTCCCAAACTTTGAACTAAGCGATCTATTTGGTATCTCACGCAGTGCTCAACTTCGTTTTGGGAACGATTTGCAAAAGTGCTCGTCTCATTAACGATTAGGGTTATCTAAATTGAGAAGAGAAAGTATCATTAGAATAACTGCGTGCCATCAAAGATAATCGCTTACACTTACCACACTGGAATAACATTGCAGTTTAGCATTGATTTGAATATGCAGAGAACATTGCTGAATGGCTGCCAAGAACAATTGTTGCACATCAAATTGATCCATATAGAAATCCAACGGGAAGTTTCTACCGCGGAAACATTTTCGAATCCTATAGCCACCAATTGCGAGGGCGGCATCAAGTTGTGTCTCGTATATTTCCTCGCAGACTTCCGATCCAAATCCGTTGGGGAAAAGAGTGTTTGTGGATATCTCCTTTTGGTCGTTACTTACGAAAATTGCTTTAAAAAATTTTCTTGCATTTTTGCTTAACGCAATTTCGCCTTTTTGGACAGTCGATTCATAGTGCCGCAGTGAAAAGGCAAAAACCTGTTAGCAAAAACGTTATTATGATTATTAGAAAACAATATTTCAGTCACTAAACTCAATATTTTACGAATTTTACGTACACTTTGAAACAGCAAGCAAACTGCAAATACTTTCCAGGTAAACCACATCGTTCGTACTGTGACTTTCCAATACGAAAGTATGCTTCTTATACAAAAATAATATCAAAGTTTATTTAAATAATTACTCTTTAGATAGATAACGTCAATTTGGAATTGAAATATTATCAAATTATATTAAATTAAGCAACCAAAAAGATTTTCTAATAATTGGAACAAAATAAATAGTAAATAATCTGAGTAATGTTCGTAACTGACTCATTCATAAATAGTTATCGGTTTGCACATTTTTCACTACATACCTAAAAATTATCAATTCCCAGAACTCTTGTATCTATGCGCTTATTATCTATAAGTGGTGCTGCATTTAAACGACTCGAGTGTATTTTTATTTAAAAAATCGGAAGTCGGCATTAACCTTCTCCTGTCCTTATCTAAAAGTTTTCGATTTTTTTTGTGACGTATTTTTTCTGATAAGTTTGTTGCAGTGGAAGTAATTAGTATTGGTTCTTACATAAATCTCAAGTGCAACGATCACGAAATTGAACGCTTGAATAAATGACCGCGCCTAAAACTTTTTTCCCACAATTTCTTTGATTTGAAGCTTACAGCTAGATTTGTTTTTAAATTCTGCTTTTATTTGCATTAAAAATCTTTAATGATAATTTATTTTGAATACTAAATAACATTAAGTAATCAAAGGTTTCAATGCCATAGCGTTCAAAATTGGGCGTATTCACCATATATATGTATGTACCTATAGTGGCGGTCAAAAATGGATGAATGGTGTTTCGTTTTTAATATTTACAATATTATTCACGCAAAAATTTTTTTTTATATTTCTTTAAAAAAATATGGTTCATGCTTTAACAAAAACTATATAAATAACACTGAAACCTTACAAAGAACTTAGAAAAATTCTACAAATTTTTATATAAATTTCGAGCTTTTTAAACAGAACTTTTTGGTTATGCTGTTAACAATCTTATAAAATTCTAGTCAAATAAATACAAGTTTTGACCGGCTAAAACATAGCAATAATTTTTAAAAAATTTTTGTGCTGACGGCCTTTACGTTTGTTTTTCATATAAATAGCGAAATTTAGGAAAACTGGCGGTGACTTTTTTATTTTTTTTTTGCAAACGGTCTGGCGCATATTCTTCCATAAGAAATTCATGTTTATTTATATGGAAAAAAGTGCAAAACGCTTAAAAAAAAAATTAGAATTATTAAAAATCAATGCGATTTTTTAGCCGCTCAAAACTTGCATTTATCTTACTATAATTTTATAGGCTTGTTAACTGCATACCCAAAAAATGTCTAAAAATTCTGTTTAAAAAGCTTAAAATACAGATAAAAATTTGTAGAAGTTCTGTATATAGTTTGAAAATGTGATTTATACAGTTTTTGTTAAAGCATAAACCATATTTTTATAAAAAAATATCAAAAAATATTTTAGCTTGAAAAACATTGTGAATATGAAAAATGAAACACCATTCATCAATTTTTAACCGCCACTGTATGGTTATATATATTTTTTTGAAGTGACGTTAGTAAATTGGAAAACCGTCAGCGAATGTTGTAATGGAAGTGTTGATCTGTGTTTTCCTTTAAAAAAAAACAAGTAAGAAAGTCTAAGTTCGGGCGGAGCCGAACATTAAATACCCGGCGCAAGTATTAAATATATGTTTTTTCACCTTTCCGAAACCTTCCGCTAGATGGTAAGCCGGGGTGTATCAATTTTGAGTAAATTAGCGTCCTTCAATTTCGAAATATTGAAGTTTCAAGCATTTCTGAAATTTACCGTTATATGAGAAGCGGCCGTTATTTTAGTCCGATTTCAATAATTTTCGACATTTTGCTTTTGTGTTGCAAG